TATTATTTTATATGTGGGGGGCAGAGAACGGTGGGGTATTATTTTATATGGGGGGAGGCAGAGAACAGGGGGGAGAGAGTTTATTATTTTATATGTGGGGGGCAGAGAACGGTGGGGTATTATTTTATATGTGGGGGGCAGAGAACAGGGGGGAGGGTATTTATTTTATATGTGGGGATGTGGAGGGCCGCAATGTTTACATTGCTTTATCTTAATATTGTTTGTTAATATTTAATTTTTGTAACTTTATTCTGCCTTTAACATTTAAAAGTGTAATTTCATAAGATAATTTAAGAGGGTGGGTTTAGGGGCGGAGTTAAGGCCGAGGCAGGGTTGGGGTTAGGTGGGGCAACTGGTGGCGAGTAACTCTTAAGCCCTGGCTAGTAGCTCAGGACTTGAAATTTTGAGCCCTGCTGTATGTGTTGGTGTTACTTTTACAGGAATCTTCCCTTTCATTCAGTTCAGCAATCAGCTGTTCCCTGTCTGTCCCTGAATGACCTGCCCTAAAAGGCTAAATCAAATTCGTTTTTTGAGAAAACTTTATTGCGGAAAATATTTGTAAAATAAAACGTGCTGCATGTGAATCATCAGAAAGTGAGGAGATGACGGGACCCTCTTGACAAAATGAAGCCATGCCCAGGCACTTGTTTCCACCCTGGAAACAGATGCTTTCTGTGTTATGTGCACTACTCCATAAGATCAAAGATTTTTATGATTTTTATTTTGCTGATTGAGATTTTGCTAATAGCAACCAGTTAGATACCATTTTTATTGCAAGACTTTTTTGGATAGAGTAGGGAAAATCTATTTTTTGCTGTCTGTGTTCTTCTCAGGAGATATCCCTTCACTTCCTGATCAGGAGATGCCACAGAAATAATGAGAAATTGAAAGGAAATCTCAAAATGAATTTCTATCTTAGGCAGTTGTCACCTGGTAATTTGTCCCCATTGGAGGATTTACCCTCACCTCCTGCTTTGGTCAAAACTCGATAATTTTGGTGTTCCCCTCAAGTAAAAAAATCATGACAGATGTCTAGTCCTTTTCCACCAAAACCTAAAAATAAATAAAAAGTTCTGCTTTTACTTAAGTTTTAGTTACTAAAGTTAGTTACTTTACTAACTTAAGTTAAGTTACTTAAGTTTTACTTTTACCCATTCACACCAGCCCCTGCGCTACATCGTACAGCAGCTGGTGTGCAGTGCCCGGCAACATGCTGATGACCCGATCCCGGCATATCGCACTGTTTACTGTTTTTTCTTAGAACTTTATTGAAAATGTCACAAGTGACACTTCATTAAGTTCTCTGGGCACAGTATAGTAAAAATTACTGCATGCAGTTCTCTTTTTCAGAGTGCACACCACTGCAACGCATCCATGGCAAAGCAAACTGACTTGTCTTGCATTGGGGCTGCGCTGGGAAAAAATGGCCAGCACAGTCCCAACGCATCTTGTGTGAATTTACCATAAAATGAAACTGAAGGCAAAACTTTTTTTCAGTGGTGGATAGAATGACAAAGGAATTAGAACACCTCTAAGATTTTTATTGCTACCTGTGTCCCCGTTAGGGAGATTCACCCTCTCAATTTTTCCTGGTAGCCATTAGCAGTGAAAGTGAAAGAAAGACCCAAATTTGGGTTGTCACTGAAACAACATCAGAATTGATGGAAAATCTTCCAGTGAGGACACTAGTTCTGGTTACCCAGCTGAACGCCAGGGATCACTTTGGAGGGATATCCTCTCACTTTCTCTTGTGGCTATCAGACACATGGGACACAATTTGGCAAAAAAAAATTAGAGAGGGGTTATAACCCTCCCTTGCTCTATCCAAACCAAAAATGTTTTGGCTTTAGCTCCACTTTAAAATTGCCTTCCATGATGCTTTGTATCCATTGCACATTTTAAATGAAGCTGACTAAAAGGGACTGCTGCTAGGTGTAACATGTATGTGGGGATGCCAGAGCCACAAATTACTTAAAAATTTTCAAACTGCATATCAGCAAGCACTTTTACCAATGTCACTGAGGATAAAATTCCCAGTGGTGTGCACTATAATGACCAATGGCTCCAAAAGCAGCTACATTTCCTAGCAATGTCTCCTGATCCACACTTCGAAACATAAGCCCCACCATCACACTAGCAGTAATCAAGTTATACATGATTGCTAGAGAGTGGTCGAGAGAATACTTACTTTTACAGAATTGCTCGCTTCTTAGTTGAACCAGCAAGGTGTCCCTCCATTGCTGCTCCCTCAACTTTGAGGGTTGAGGGTGATTCCACAGCATTTCGGTCAGGGGTGTAAAAACAAGGAAGAAGCAGGTGAGTGTTACCTTTTGCAATCTCGTTGTTGGCAAATTACATTACTAATGTCCCTTTTATTTTAAGCTTTACCTTAGTTCCACTTTAAGATTGCTAAAAATAAAGTTCAGTGAGGGTGTACATCAAAGTATTTGCTTCTAGTGTAGTGTTGCAAATGAAATCAAGGATTACACTTTTATTTCCAAATTATTTTATTGTCTATAAAAAATAATAAATAAAACCAGTCATGAATGTTCCCATATTATTATCACTGACTTCT